ATCAAATCTTAGTGGCTTCAATCTAGTGGTTGAAGATGAAGTTAAGTGGTGCTATTATGGCAGGAAAAGGATTTACTTTTGCTTCATGTAGGTTATTGGTTGATTGATTCTTAAACCTCTTCCCTTGGGGTTATGTTCCCCTATTCCATCTTGATCAATAGGATGAAAGAAAAACTAAAAAAACAAAAAACAAAAAAATTTCACGGTAGTTATTTATATAACCGCCATGAAAAGTCACATACCATGATGATTCTTAAACCACCATGAATCCTCTATATTTTATGTCGATAGCATAGATGTCGCCCTCAAAACTGCCATGAAAAAGCTCATTTTAACTGCTATAAAATATATTTTTTTTGGCAGTAGTGACACCTTGATCATAGCATATCAATATTTCTTTCTCTGTTAGCTGTTGTTGTTGGTTGAGTTTAGATGAGTTGAGCTGAGAGAGAGACATATTACAGGAGATGATTAATTAGTGCCACAGAGTTTAGGGGTAAATTTGGTCCAAAACGACAGTTCCGGGTCCATTATTATTAGATGCATGGGTGATAAACACAAATTAAAACAATAAAGAGATGGAACGAACCGTATATATAATAGCTTATGTATAGGATTTTAAAATAAATAGTGAAGTATTAAGAAAATTCAAAGGAAAGACGACATGCAAGCTTGCTTAGTACAATGAACGGACTTGCAGATGAGCAGCCCACGCGCAAGCTTGAAAGACACCAGGTCATGTAATGGCCTTCCTCTGGGCTGTTATTAACATAAGTTATAATGCTTTCCTTCTCTTATAACTCAACCGCCAAAAGGAAGAAAAGATCATTTAGCTACAGTAACATTAGTTCTCCCTCTAGCTAGAACAATGCATACTACTTGTTACTGGAGACGCTTATTTGACAGCCTTTGCAATGGCTTTGTACTCTTCATTTTGGGTATCCGCATATCAACATGTTCTTGTATGGCTTATTTTTTCATGTTGGCATCAGTAAGCTTCGTGTTCTTTGGGATATATGCATGTTGTGCCAGGTTCAAGTTACTAAAATTACCCCAATTTGATGAACCTTCACTACCTAACCAAGGCACTATTGGAAGCGTTCAGCTGGAAGTTCTGGTGGATAATATCAATAGTTAGTTGTGTTATCAGTTCATGAGGTGTAAATTTATTATTTCAAGTATGGTTTATTTTGTGTTTGTTGTAGCGGCTCATGAAGTCTTCACATTTTTTTTTTATTTATATATGCCATTGGTAATATTCTTCTGAGCAATAATAATATAGGACCTAATTGGTGAGTTGATATTGGTTCTATATATAATACCTATTTCACATGTTTATTAACCTTTTTCCAAATTGACTCCATTGAAATTTCCCCAATAACAAACAAGTACGAGAAGGAGGGAGAGAACTTAAAAAGATGCTTAGAGTGTTTTGATTGTATTCGCTGGAATGTGACTCGTGTAATGTACTTCGTGCGTGTAGCTGATGAGCATGCATGTGCATATCTTGTATTTTGTGTGTATATTGTGTTTATTATTTTAGAAGCTTAGATATTCTCCAGGTGCATATAGTTCGAATTCCAAGTGGACATTGATAGTTCTGTTATCAGTTCATTCTTGTACCACCATTGATTACATTATCAAAGAGGCTCACTGTTCAGTATATCGATCGATGATCGTTGGACCGCTGGTTGTAATTATCAAGATATTAATCCAGGTGGATAAATATATTGTTAATTAATCGTATATTTGTCAGTTTCCTTTATTACTGGCTAGCTGGCATTATGGCATATATTTGGACTCCTAATGAATTCTTCAATTGAAGTAAGGTAAATCACCCGTGGATCAACTTTAAGCAAATAATACCTGTTATAGTTTTAAATAAAGGGGGTGACTTTCACTTCAAATAATCCATGTACTATTTGATCAATTTACTTTTTAACATTCATTTTCGTTTTAAGGTAAATCATCAGTGGTAGTTTCCCATGTTTAATATATTTAAAGTACATTTTAGGCATATTTAAGAAGCTATTCTATGTATTTACAAGAGCTAGTCAATTTGTTCATTATTTAGGAAATTATAATACAAATATTATAGTTTTAAACTAGTGAAATTCAGGTTAGAAATAATTTCAAGTATTAAAAAGACGCTTTTTTTTTTATTTCAATTTTTTTTACTGTCTTTCTTTTGTTCTTTTCAATTTCTTTTCTTTTTCATTTTTTTATGTTCTTCTCTATTCTGCAGCCTTCGACAGCATTTTGGGGTGGGGTTTTTCGGAGACCTAGCTCAGCCACGAGTTCGATCAGTTGGCCAACGCTGTTCAGAATCTCTTCATCGTCTCCGAGAGTGAAATGTGGGGGAAAGGAAAACCTGAGGAGGAGGCTGCCGTTGGAGAGATCAAGATTCATCGGTGTCTTCACTCTCAGGATGATTCTTTATTGTAAAAACTGAAAAATAATTTATAAATAATAAAAAATTGTAAATTTTAACAAAAATTCAGTTGAGAGTATACTGGTTTTATATATTGTTCAGTTAAAAAAAACAAAGAAGTTTATCACATCGTTTGTCGTGCAGCAGGGTGATCATCATGTCAGCGGCGAAGATAATAATCCTGAGGGCTACATCATTCATGAGGTGGATCTATCGCTGACGAAGATTCTGCGGATTTTAAGCGTGACTTGGTCCCAACACGCAAAACACATTCAAAAATGAAAAGATAAAATGTACAGCATTATTCCTTCTGTTTAGATTTCGGCAATAAAAGGGGGCCAAAAAAAAAAAACAGTGCAGTTTTAAGAAAATTCCAAAAAAAAAAAAAGGATTGCGGGGCAACTTTAACTTTATATTCCCAAAGAAGGAAAAAAGTAATGTAGATAGCTAAAAAGTTGAAGCAAAAGTTGCCGTATTTTATCGCATATATATTCTCGGATTGACCTTGGCAAAACAGCCGTCGACACGTTCAATTGAAACAGACAAGCTCCCATCTTGTTAATTACTACTTCCGGTCCTTAATATAAGATCTTGTTTAATTTTTATTTTGATCCTAAATATAAGATCCTAATCCATTTTGTCTCTCATATTTATGCATTTTTTCCCAAGGCAATCCTTCTAATAATTGTAGTTACAGCCAATATAGTTGATTAGTAAGGATATTTTAGAAAAAACAACACTTATTTATTACAAATAACTAACTTAACTTCTTTTCTTAATCTCCTGAAATTAGTCAATTGGGTCTTATAATTAGGATCGGAGGTAGTAGTTGCATGGTACTTTAATTTTGCTATAGCGAGTCAAAATTGCAAATCATGAAGAAGTTGGTTGTATAAAGTCCGTATTCATGCACAGTGAAGCTGTAAGCCTCATGCATCGTGAAGCTTCGTCTCCGCCTCTTGTCTCCTTCTTTCTTCCTTTCCTGTTCATAAAATCCATTTTGTGTCATCGTAAAAAGTCTTACTTTAAAGTCCCGGTTAAAAGTCGTCACTGAAAGTCATATTTTTTGTAGTAGAATTATGCTATATACTCAGTTTCCGTAATTACTTAATTTGTTGGAATGTGCATGCCATGTGTAATTTATAGTATGAGCTGCGTGCAGCTGAGTGAGTAGTGTATTAACATGTACTATTCCTTGAAGAAGAGCCATTTTAAATATCAAAGAGGCTCATTGGCACTGCTTAGCGTATATCGAACCAATGAGCTAAACACCTAATTGCCTTTCTTTCTTTCATATTCATTCTGCATACATACATACATAACACTCTCCTCTTTAATATAAGTCACTTATATAACTCACTTGTAACACATTCTCATATGCCAAGAGATACATTAAATAAGGATAAAATTAAAAAAACAATTATTAAATATATTATAAGTGATATATATTTAATTTTTGTGTCTCTCTATCGAAGAGTGTGTCTGTGTATCAATATCTCATTGGAAGGAGGAGGAGGAAAAATATGATATAACTGATCAAGCCCAATCACTGAAGCTTAATATGCCCATGAAAATGAAACGTGACGCAAACCTGTGACGTGACAGGGTTTCACCGCAGACCCCATAACTAGTGCTTAATATTTAAGCTTTGTCATGATTGGTTGGGAAATTTCGTCCCCATCTTCTTTATTTCTCCTTTGTCAACCATACGTAGTTTTATGTATGGTTTGTTAGACAGAAGTAGGAGGGGAGGAAGTAATTATTGACCGGGTCTAAAAAAGAAAAAGAAGTAGACATGTCGATCTCTTCCCTTCCCACATGGAATATTTGGGGTGACTAGGAAGCCTCTTCGTCCCCTGCCTAATAAGTGTATGTGACTGTGATTTTCCACCACGTGATTGGGAAAATACATCACTTCGCTACTACTCTTCAGTTCTAAATATAAGACATATTTTGTAGTGTAAATTACACTACAAAATAGGTTTTATATTTAGGATTGGAGGAGTATCGTTTCCATCTTTTTAGGGGTCGACTCGTGACTTGGTCTTGTGTAATTTAAAATTTCCTTTAAATATTTTCTAAACAACAACATTTATTAAATTAAAATAGTATTATGATTATAAATCTAACCATGAAATCCATACAGCACTCGCCTCATTTGGTTGTCCTCCCCTGAGGTTTTTCGACTTTGTCACCATGTCTCCATTTGTTTCTCTCAGCCATTGGATGTCTGAGGTTAATTACTGAACGAGCCCCCTACATCTGAGTTTAAATGACTCGAGCTGAGTTTAGGGGCAATTTGGTCCAGAACTACAGTTCCATTCAAACAACAAAGAGATGGAACGAACCGTATCATGCTTACGTCATACAATGAACCGACTCGCAGATGAGCGGCCCACGCGCAAACCTGAAAGATACCAGCTCCCTTCTTGTCAGTTCATATATATATAATGGGCTTCCTCTGGATTGTTATAAGTATAAGTTATGACCCTTTCTTTCTCTTAACTCAACCACCAAAAGGAAGAAGAGATCATCTAGCTACGGTAGCATTAGTTCTCCGTCTAGAACGATGCAGACTAATAGTTTTTGCAGAAGCTTATTCGACTACCTCCGCAATGGCTTTGTCCCTTCCAAGACTGTCCTCTTCATCTCGGGTATGTGTGTGTGTGTGTATCAACATGTTCTTGTATAATGAGTTAGCTATTTCTATTTCTATTGAATATCATTTTGACGTGATTTAACAAGAACTAGCTAGCTTCTTCCTCTGATGATATTTATGATTCAGGTTTAGTTTTTAGCCATGCCTTGGTACAAAAGGCAGTGGTGGACGTTTTGATAGATTTTCTCACAGAAGATCTTTGTCTCGGCCTAACGAGAGCTATTGTGCTTACGAACATGCTATCCTTCATATCAGCTGTGCTCAAAGTTGTTGTTACTCACATATCAGAAGGTTACACGGGTGCTTTCATTGTCATTATCTTCTGCACCGCGGCCTATACCATGGTAGACTATCTCTTAACCTTTTCAACTTTTTAAAGATGCTCGAACCCAGGCTCTTATATATGTAACTGGAAAAGATGGGAATAAGAAACACGTCTTATGTTGCGATATCTTCCTTCTTTTTTTGTTAAATAACAATTGTATTGTTAATTACAGGGTGTGATGCTACTATGGTTTCGCACTGGGTTGATTTTAGCAACAGTACTTATTGCGTTAGGCAAAGCAGGGGAGGAGCCATCTTTAAGAGATTTTTTTTACCATCAGCTGAGTGAAAAGGTGAGGAAAAAGTACTCACAAGAAAATAATCGCAATGGAACTAGTAATAATCTTTGGAGTACTACTGCTTCCTTCACCGGCACTTGTATGGCTATCTTTTGGCTAGACAAAAGTGAAGTTGAATGGCGGGAAAAGTTCAAAGTTTCGTCTCTTGTTATGGGAAGTACGTATTTCTTATTCTTCTTCGGGATTTTCTGCTACTACCCTGAAGTAAGGTCCATAGGAAGCCCTCTTACTGCCATTTATAGGGTTTTCATGGCAGCTATTCAGAAACGTGGATTGCCATATCCATCCTTAAAAGAGGGTTATTACTCCGATGATAATAATACCCACCAAGGTTCAAATGAGTTAGAAGAAAGACCCACCAACAGCACTCTAATTACCACCATTTCTAGGGTGTTTGAGGCAGCTATTCAAAAAAGTAGAATATTGCCATACCTTTCTCCAAAAGAGAGTTATTCCTCCAACAGTTCAGATAATTTGGAAGATCCCTTTTATCGTAAAGAAAACGGTGATGTTCACTTGTTGCCACGTGATGCATCATTCTTATTGTTCTTGGACAAGGCCGCCATAATTAGAAGCAACAAATTCGATACTCAAGGTCATAAAGGGAGAGATGATAATGTTTGTACGGCGGAGCAAGTGAGGGACGTGAAGAGCCTTTATCCTTTAATACCCTTGGGGATCTTCGTCTTCTTCGCCTACAGCTTGATTTTTGCTTCTGGTGACACTTACTTTGTCATGCAAGCACAAAACTTGAACCCTAAAGTTGGTGATTTCCATGTTTCTGTATTGCTTTTCTTCGTACTCCAATCCTTGGTCGCTTTCGCTGTGAGAACAATTCAGCCGATCAGAAAACTGGTGAAACCAACTTGGAGTATTGGTATTGGGATGTTTTGTTCAGTACTTTGTTGTATTGCGGCTGCGCTAGTGGAACTTCGTAGGCTGAAGCTGATCAAACCTGCTTTTAAAGAAGACCCGAGCCATATCATTCCCTTAAGCATCATGGTTTTGACTGCACAGTATTTTCTGCTAGGGCTAATGCAAGGATGTGCAGAATATGGACTGGGGGCTTTCCTGTGTATTGGGGTGCCTAAGTCAATGATGAAATTTGTAGAACCGTGCGTTGAAATGCTGTGGGGGCTTGGTAATTTATGCAGCGCACTATTTGTATTGATTTTTCATAGCTGGATCAAGGACTCCATAAACGATAGTCACCTGGATAAGTATTTTTTCATGTTGGCATCAGTAAGCTTCGTGTCCTTTGGGATTTATGTATGTTGTGCCAAGTTCAAGCTACTAAAATTACTCCAGTTTGATGAACCTTCACTACCTTCCCAAGGCAATATTGGAAGGATGACGGGTGTTCAGCTGGAAGTTCTGGCGCATTATATCAGCAGTTAATTATATTATCAGTTCATTATTTGAAAAGTTATCATTTCAAGTATGGTTTAAGTTGTGTTTGTTATAGCGGCTCATGAAGTCTCCTTCTCTTTCTGTTTTTGTGTCCAATAATATATATCTTGATCGGAACAATATTTAAATGTCTTTCCAAAGCTGTCAGAAGATCTAAAAGCGATCATAAGATTAAGGGTTCTCAAAAATAAGTAAATGTTTATTATTAAAAAAAATGATAAAAGATGTTGATATTTATTAGGCGTATCTTCCTATCAAGGTCTTATTTTTGGTACCTGTATTCATAATTAGATCTTTCTTATACACTCCCTCCAATTTTATTTATAAGTTCTAAATTTGAAAAAAGATGCGGTTCATTTTATAAGTTTCAATTTGATTTGGTCTTAACATTTAATGTATTTTTTCTAATGTTACCTTTAATTATATTTTTCTTATAACATTTTCTCAATTGCAGTACTTTTCGCTTCTTCTTTTTTCAATTATTTGTTACGATTGTGTGAATACGTTATTGGGTTAATAACCCGTTGGGAAAAGAAGCCTATACAAATGGACGGAATATGACTGCAGGCATTCATCATCATCAGAAGAGTATAATGGGCTAAGCCCAATCATTTAAGCCCAATATGAAGCCCATGAAAACCAACCTGTAATAACAGAATTTAGAACCAAACAAAATCTGAAAACGCCTTGATGACTATTTATGATGTAGTGGTAATTTAAAAGAGATCGGAGTAATTTTTGATGATCAGTTTCATTACGCACTCTTAAGTAATGATTTTTCACTTGATTAATTATGTGCTTATCATTAAATGAAAAGTATATATCATGGCTCAGTTTTATTTTCTTGTCCTGTCAAGCTTGGGACAAATATAAATTTCACCAAACAGACAATAAAACAATTAATTAAGTTCGATCAGTTCGTAAGATCATTGATCAAAGGGGAAAAAAATATTCAATTGTAAATTCTTTCTGTGACTACAATTTTCTAATCAAAGAAGTGTGTGTGTTTTTCATTAAAATCTGCAGGGATATAAGACTGGAAAAGGATATATATAATTCAACAAGACATTGTTATTATAATTAATTGATTAATGAAAAATATGGAGTGGGTGTTATTGATAAGGATACTAGCTAGTTGGTACGCTGTACGTATCGCCTGGAGTCAACGTGCATGTCCCCGTAAAAATTAAAGCCATACACTCAGTAACAAGTCATAATTATTTTATATAATTATATATATTATATGTCGATGAAATTTGATAAAATAAGAATTTAAGTGCATAATAGGTTTACATCAGCTTTATACGAGTCAAGTTCAACTAAGGATCAAGTCTTTTAATTTTATGCCCTCATGCCGTTCGCACGATTCTAATTTATCCTATTTTATTTCATTTTATAACTTCTTACATTTTTTGTTTGTTTTTTCGCAGTTGCCTGAACTGACTGCCATCAGAAAAAGAGATAAACAATTGTTATGCATTATCATCTGTTTGTTGGTGAACTAGGGGCAATATAATGCCCCTCAAGTATTTAATGTATGACCTAATTAGTAAGTTGATATTAGTCCTATATATAAAACATATTTCTCATGTACGTTTATCAATTTTTTTCTCAAATTAACTCCATTGAAATTCCCCAACAATAAACAACTACGAGAAGGAGGGAGGGAATTTTAGGGTGTTTTAGAAAAATCATATCACATTAACTAATTTAACTAACATTTTTAATTTACTCAAATTAGTTAATTAGGTCTTATAATTAATAAGTACTAGAGGAATATATTATAGTGTGTGTTGTAGCGTGTGATGATCAAAATTTACTATATATTCTATATTGAAAATATTTGAAATTTTGTATTTTGTTTTGACTCGATCATGATGATCCCCGGCCAAATGCGTAGAATATAACAAGCTGTATATCAAAATGTCTGTGTTTGTGTGTCTTCATAAAGATTATATTTTTACATTATTCATAAGTCATTAATGGTCTGTGTCATGTAATTTTAGAGTAATATATTTGCTATTTATCCAGAAAAATAATAAATTACTTGTGTTATTGTCTATCTTTATCGATCACGGTTTGACTTGGAAGTTTCTTAATCACACCCACATAATAATTATGCATGTTTCAATTTAGCGAGCATTAGGGCTGCACATGAAACCGGTAACCCGATAAATCCAGTCCAATTTTTGAAACAGTCCAAAAAGCCCGTAAAATTTGGGCCAGATCGGGTTTGACCTGAAGACCGAGTAGGACCGGGTTACGAGAAGGCATTGGACTGATGACCTGGTCCTACCCGTTGATTTTTTGTGAGATATTTAAAAAAAAAAAGTTGTATAAGGCCATATTATAGTTTCTTTTCTCTTTTTTTCCCCTACCAAGTCCATTTCTGATTTGGGCCCATGTTGAAGTCCTTTTTTTTTTTCCAGATCCAATTCTGATTTCGTCGAATGTCCATCAGAGATCAGACCATCACTATTCACTTCATCAGGCATCCTTCATGAGTTCATTCCTAAATTCCCTCTCCCTCCAAACCTAGTGGCAGCGTCAGACTCTCAGGCTCTTAGCGATTAGCAAAGACGGTGAAGTGGTGAGTGGCGACCTCAGAGCTCAGATCTGCTTCTCCCCCATCCCCTTTTGTGATTCGCGCAGCGCCGACAACCCCATTCCCTAGTAGCTAGCAACCAAGCTTGCCTCCTAGTCCTTCAATTTGAAGCTCACTGTTTGCTCGCCACTCGCCGGCTCGCCACTACTCTCCAGCTACATCACCGTCAGGTAAGTTCAAGCCTCTTTGGAGTGTTATTATTAATATTTCATTCTCCCTATCTAGCTCCGTGTGATACTGTGATCCTCGGTCAAATACTAAGTGTGTTTATTTTTTTTATTTACCAACAAAGCAAACATGTGATCCTTGGTCAAATACCATGTCCAGATTCAAATACTATATCTATAATAAATTGATAGTAGTGAAAGGAGGTAGGGACAACGAAAATTACTTCAAGATAGCACGCCATATTCAGAGGAAAAACAATGATAGCGCAAATTTTATTCCATACTACATCCACAAATTTTAATTAATTGCAGTAGTAAATACATATGTTATGAATGTAGAACCAGTTCATTTTATCAACACCATTACAGCAGAAAATTGTCAAAATTTGTCTACTTAATTGCTAAACTAACTTGTCCAATTTATATGTCTTTTTTTCATCTGATTATTGTGAACAATTATGATAGGCTTGCCATAGTTAATTATTGTTCCTAAAGTTGAAATAATTTGTCTAATTCATTATTCTCATTGTATTCTTATTTCTTGTTCAATTTATTATAGATATATTATCCATTTATCACTTTGAAATGGAGGAGCAAGATTCCATGTCAAGTTAAAGGGGATCAGTGACTCCTCGATTGGGTGATAACCTAACACAGAGTGGCTCTAGACCTTCACTAATTCCTTCTCAAAGTCCTATCTCTCCCACACCAACACCATCACCTCCTCCTGTTGCCCCTACTACTACTGCAGCACCCACTTCCCAATTAACACAAGAAGTAGGAGTAATTGAGGGTGACAATCCTAGGAAGAGAAAAGAACCAAAAAGAAAGCCTCCAAAAACATCTCATGTTTAGGACTATTTTGTGAAGCTAACATTAGAAGAAAGTAATGGAGAGGTTAGAGCATCTTGCAAGTACTGCAATATGACTTATGCTTGTGACTCTAATAAGCATGGTACAACTTCATTGAAAAGGCATTTGTTTAAATTTACAAAGAACCCACATAAGGATAATAAAGATAAAAAGCAGTCAATGTTGGGTTACCTTTCAAATACTTCTTAATAAAATGCCTTAGTCCCTCATATGTACAATGAGAAATGAATACAAAGAGCCTTGGTTGAGTTTATTATTTGTGATGAGCTACCCTTCAGAATAGTTGAGAAGCCAGGATTCAAAAAATTTGTAAATGCATTGGAGCCTCGATTTCCTATCCCATCTAGAATGACTGTTGGTAGGGATTGTTGGCAGTTGTTCCTTGGTGAGGTGAAGACTTTAAAGAAGATTTTAAACAATTGTGCATCTTGTGTTTGTCTCACAACTGATTGTTGGACTTCAAATTAGAATTTCAATTACCTCTGTTTGATAGCTCATTTTATTGATCCTAATTGGCATCTACACAAGAGGATTCTCAATTTCTGTATGGTTGAGAATCACAAAGGAAAAACCATAGGGAAGACAATTGAGAAGTGTTTGCTAGATTGGGGAATTGATAAGGTTTTCACAATTACTATGGACAATGCATCTTCAAGTGTCTCAGCATTGTCATACTTGAAGAAGCCATTAAGGAATTGGAAGGGATTGGTTTGTGGTGGGGGTTACCTACATATTAGGTGTTGTGCTCATATTCTTAGGTTGATTGTTCATGAAGGCTTAAAGGATTTGAAAGAGAACTTTGAAAGCATTAGAAGTGCTGTTAGATATATGCGCTCATCTCCTGCACATTTTGCAAAGTTTAAGTCTTTTGCTAAGGCTGAAAAAATTAACACAAAAAGCCTTGTTTGTTTGGATGTGTCAACCAAGTGGAATTCAACCTTCTTGATGTTAGAGGCAGCATGGAAGCTTCAAAAAATGTTTGAAAGAATGAATGATGAGGATGATGACTACTGTGCACACTTTAGGCCCTCTAACCCCCCTCCAAGGCATGAATCAAAAGCACATGATTTCAATTTGGTTGATTCACATGAGGTATCTAGCAATAGGCTTGAATCACATGATTTCTTGAAGCGAGCTTGTGATGCTAGGCGTGAAGATAAAGAGAAAAAACGTGATGACCCCCCAATAGTAGAAGATTGGAATCGTGCACGGGTCTTCTTAAAATTCTTGAAGATTTTTTATGATATCACATTGATGTTCTCAACTTCCCTTAGTGTGACATCAAATTCATGCTTCCAACCAATTGCCCATGTTTAACAGATGTTGGAAAGAAATATTATGAATTTAGATTCCCTCTTATCTGATATGTCTTTCAACATGAATATGAAATATGAAAAATATTCGAGCAAAGCTGAAATCATGAATCCTTTGTTGATTGTGGCAGTTATACTAGATCCTTGTTACAAGCTGGCATATGTTAATCACATATTTGAGAATTTGTTCCATGACAATGAAGTTTGCTTGGCTATGAAGGATAGGGTCAAGGATTGTTTATGTCGTGTGTTTGAAGAATATTTTGCCTTTGTTGGGATATCTTCTGAATCCAACACTGCTTCATCTCCTGCTATGCCTTTATCTTCAATAAGTGCTGTAGCGAATGTGGATGATCATGATCCAGGCCTTTAGTGGTTGACAATAGTCAAGGAAAGAAATTCACATGATTCTCAAACTAAGTTGGATAAGTATCTTGCTGCTGATTCTGATGATATCCCTGCTGATTTCAATATACTAGCTTGGTGGAAGGCAAATTCTGTTAAGTATAAAATCCTCTCTTGCATGGCATGTGATGTGTTGGCCATCCCAGTCTTTACAGTTGCCTCTAAATATGCTTTTAGCACAGGAGGTCATGTGGTTGATCAATATCGAAGCTCATTATCACCTGGAATGACTGAAGCATTAATTTGTTCACAAAATTGGATTCTTCCTAGTCAATCACTATCAGAACTTGTTGACAAGCTTCATGAATTTGATAATTTTGAAGAGTCTGGTAATGTTTTAAACATAACAAGCCTTTATTTAAATTTATCATATCACTATAAAATTATAATATTTCTGTTTTGTGTCTTTTTTTTCCTAAATGCTTCATGTGTCATTGATGGTGGAGACGCTGCTGTGTCCATGGAAATAGAGTAAAGCAAGGATTGAGTTCATAGTTAGCTACCATGTGCTGTGTCACCGATTATCATTCCACGTTTTGATATTTGCTGTTGTGTGATGGACCTATAATATTTGATATTGGCATGCATTTTGGCTTTATTATTAGCTATGACATTTGATTAGCCTATGTCCTTTAAATCAACAAACTTTGAGACTGATTATATTCTCATTTGATATTTACTTTGGTGTAATGGACTTTCCTTTTGCGTTGTGGTTCTTCTGCCTATTTGAACTTGCATTTTGCTGAAAAGTGCAACACGCACAAACCAGCAAGCTGCAAACTTTCAAGGCTTAGTGTAGTGGACTTGTTTAATATTATATTATGGACTTTAATGGTTGCTTTATAGTTTTTTTATTGTATTGTTTACGGTTTATACTTGATTTTAATTTGTAGATTGTTTTAAAGTTATTCTTATTTGGAATTTGATATTCTCATGATGTTACTCTATTTAGGGCAAGTAGATAGGAATTTTTTATGTAATAGATTAAAAATTATTGATTAGGAATTTTAAAAAAAAAACAGGACAAGGGATATGGACTTGGACTGGACTAGACCTCCTGGACCAGTAAATCGATCCAGTCTGGTCCAGTCCACCCAACCCGAGGAACAACGGGTTCCTTACTGGGCAGGACCGGTCTTCAGGTTGGGGTGACGAGCCCGAAGACCAAAAATGGACCAGACCGTGGGCTAATGGCCTGCCCAGCCTGGTGTAGTCCATGTTCAACCCTAGTGCCGAGTAGAGGCTTGTTCTTTTTGTTAAAATTACTCCAATTTGATTAACCTTCACTACCTAACCAAGGCACTATTGGAAGTGTTCAGCTGGAAGTTCTGGTGGATAATATCAATAGTTAGTTGTGTTATCAGTTCATGAGTTGTAAATTTATTATTTCAAGTACGGGTTGATTTGTGTTTGTTGTAGCGGCTCATGAAGTCTTCACATTTTTTTTAATTTATATATGCCATTTGTAAGATTCTTCTGGGCAGTAATAATGGATTGGGCACACTAGTCATTAGGCATCTTTCGTTCTTCTTTTCTTCCCCTTCGTGCTTTCGATTTTTGTGTCCAATAATATATACTTGATCGCAATAATATTTAAATGTCTTTCAAAGGCTGTCGGAAGACCTAAAAGATCATGACATCAAGGCTTTTTGAAAATGAGTAAGTGTTTCTTATTAAAAAAAATGATAAAAGATGTTTATATTCATCAGCCATATCTTTCTATTAAGGTCTTACTTTTTGTACTTGTATTCATAATTAGACGCCTTTCTTATATATTCCAGTTCTATTTATAAGCTTCAAATTTAAAAAGTGCAGTTGATTTTATAAGTTTTAATTTGTCTTTATCTTAATATTTAATGTGTTTTTTTAATGTTGTCTTTTATTATTTCTCTCTTATCATATTTTCTTAGTTGTAGTATTTTTCTCATTGTTTTATTATTTGTTACGATGGTGTGAATCCGTTATTGGGTTGAAGGGTTAATAACTCGTTGGGAAAAGAAGCCTATACAAATGGACTCTATCTGATTGCAGGCATTCATCATCAAAAGAAGAGTATAATGGGCTAAGCCCAATCATTTAAGCCCGATATAAAGCTCATGAAAACGAGGGCGTTATAACAGAATTACAATCAAACAAAAGCTGAAAACGCCTCGATGAGTATTTATGATGTAGTAGTAATTTAGAAAAGGTCATAGTAATTTGTGAATTGATCATTGATCAGCTTTATTATGTACTCTTAATTTCATGCCCTCATACTGTTTGCACAATTCTAATTTATCTTATCTTATTTCATTTTATAACTTCTTTTTTTTTTTTTTTGGGTTTTCTCCCAGTTACCTGAATTGATTGCCACCAGAAAAAGAGATAAATAATTGTTATGCATTATCATCTGTTTGTTGGTAAACTAGGGGCAATATAATACCCATCTGGTGTTTAATATATGACCTAATTACTGAGTTGATATCGATCCTATATGTAAGACCTACTTAACATGTTTGTCAATTTTTTTTTTCCTTCCAAATTGACCGCATTGTAATTCCCCCAATAACAAGCAAGTACGAAAAGAAGGGAGAGAATTATAAAAAATGCTTAAGATGTTTTTTAAAAAAAAAAAGTGTAAATTTTTATTTGTCAAATAGCTGCTCATCTTTCATTATTTAATTATGTTGTTTTGATTGTATTCGCTGGAATGTGACTCGTGTAATGTACTCCGCGCGTGTAGCTGATGAGCATGCATGTGCATGTCTTGTGTATTGTGTGTTTATTATTTTAGGAGCTTAGATATTCTCCAGGTGCGTATAGTTCGAATTCCAAGTGGACATTGATGGTTCTGTTATCAGCTCATTCTTGTACCACCATCGATTATATTATCAAAATATTAATCCAGGTGGATAAAATATTGATAATTAATCATATATTTGTCAGTTTGCTTTATTACTAGCTAGCTGGCATTATGGCATATATTTGGACTCCTAATGAATTCTTCAATTGAAGCAAGGTAAATCACCCGTGGATCAACTTTAAGCAAATAATACATGTTATAGTTTTAAATAAAGGGGGTGACTTTCACTTCAAATAATCCATGTATTATTTGATCAATTTACTTTTTAACATTCATTTTCGTTTAAGGGAAATCGGCAGTGGTAATTTCCCATTTTTAATATATTTAAAGTATATTTTAGGCATATTTAAGGAGCGATTCTATGTATTTAGAAGAGCTAGTCAAGTTGTTCATTATTTGGGAAATAATAATGCAAATATTATAGTTTTAAACTAGTGAAATTCAGGTTAGAAATAATTTCAAGTATTAAAAAGACACATTTTTTTTTATTTCACTTTTTAACTGTCTTCCTTTTGTTCTTTTCAATTTCTTTTCTTTTTTCTTTTTTCTTTTGATTTTCTTCTCCATTCTGCAGCCTACGACAACATTTTGGGGTGGGGTTTTTTGGAGACCTAGCTCAGCCACGAGTTCGATCAGTTGCAGAGGGGAGGCCAACGCTGTTCAGAATCTCTTCATCGTCTCCGAGAGTGAACTGTGGGGGAAAAGAAAACCACGAGCACCTGAGGAGGAGCTGCCGTTGGAGAGATCAAGTTTCATCGGTGTCTTCTCTCTCAGGATGATTCTTTAGTATGAAAAGCTGAAAAATAATTTATAAATAATAAAAAAATTGTAAATTAAAAAAAAAATTCAATTGAGAGTATACTTGTTTTATATCTTGTTCAGTTTTTTTTAAAAGAAAAAAAAAACTGAAGTTTATTACATCTTTTGTCGTGCAGCAGGGTGATCATCATGTCGCCGGCGAAGACAATAATCCTGAGGCTACATCATTCATGAGGTGGATCTATCGCTGACGAAGATTCTGCAGATTTTAAGCGTAACTTGGTCCCAATACACAAAACACATTAAAAAATGAAGAGATAAAATGTACGGCATTATTCCTTCTGTTTAGATTTCGGCAATAAAAGGGGGCCAAAAAAAAAAAAAAACAGTGCAGCTTTAAGAAAATTATATTCCAGGAAACTTTCCATACTTTTTGGCTGCAGAGACTTACAATGATCCGGATGCCGAATTTAGGATTCATCTGGCTTCTAATTAAACTCTTCATGTCTTTGCATAAAAATAAAATAGCTGGACCTGTTGTTAACTAAGTAATTAGGAATTTAATTTCTGGCCTTCAATTTGCATATGAAGTACAGGAGATAGATGAATGATGAATCACTCAGCGAGGACGGTGTTTCAGATTTTAGGAGTATTTTGGCGTCAAGACACCTGGAAAGGCTCATGGGTTTGGATGAAGATTAAACGCACAAATAAAAAATAGACCTCTTTTCGTTAATAATTTAGTTATAAATTTCAAAATAATTTTGAGAATTTAACTATAAAAATTGAAAAATAATTTATAAATAATAAAAAAAAATTGTAAATTTTAATAGAAAATTCAATTGAAACTTGAAAGCATACTGATGTTTAATCAAACCGGTGACCCATCAGAGCAGAGCTCCAAATCTTCCTCTCCGTTTGGCATATGCTTGATGTGTGTTTGTTGTTGTGGGAGTTTGGAAGAGTTGAGGCGAGAGAGATGGATCTGTCGCTGGCGAAGAAGATCCTGCACATTTTAAGTGTAACTGGGTCCCAATACACAAAGCACATTCAAACACTGAAGAGAGATAAAATGTGCAGTATTATTCCTTTTGTTTAGATTTCGGCAATAAAACGGGGGAAAAAACAGTGCAGTCCTAAGAAAACTCCAGGAAAGTTTCCTTACTTTAATTTGCATTTGAAGTGCAGGAGATGAATGAATGATGAATTACTCAGCGAGGACTGTGTTTCAAATTTTAGGGGTGTTTCGGCGTCAAAACACCTGGAAAGGGTCATGGGTTTGGATTAAGATTAAACGCGCAATTAAATAATGGAGTTTGGGGGGGGGGGGACTTTGACTTTATATTCCGAAAGAAGGAAAAAAGTAA